ACCGTTATTGGCATGCGTATATATATATTTGATTTATATTTATTAACATATAAAAATGACCATACGCGAACCTGTTTTAGTATTAAACTGTAAAATGATAAAAGTAACTTGGAATGTTTGCATGGTGTAATAGGGTTAGAATATCTTGCGAATTGATTTGTACATTATATGTGAGACTGTTCCAACTGACAATTACCGAGAGAAGGGAACATACCCAGTCTGTCAGTGAACATAGTTGTAGAGCAAAACCTCGATAACTCGAACGCCGTTGTCTACAGATATCTTCGAATATGAGGTAACTTTATGGCTCAACCAGAATCCTGGCTCTGTGGTTTTCTATGTTTGTTTCGAGCTTCGGATTACTCGACAACTATTTCATTGACTTCTTGACAAGATCCTCTTATCATATCTATGAATGCATTTTGGGCCAGTGGCCTATTACTGAATAAAATGTCTGTCTGTCTGCATGACAAGGTCCACTGTAATACTGCATATACCTGTGTTTCTAGTTAAAACACTAAGGTATGCCTCTATATATCACAACGATGAAATATAATCACGTACAAACAATATTATCAACCGTTTTATGAACCCTGAATGAACGGTCCTTCTGGAGTTCTTGATAAGAGGGGCATTCCCAGATGAAAATGTTTAAAAAACTGATAATGCATATTTTTATTCTTCGTTTATGTGGGCTTCAATAACATTTCGTTGAGTGGATAAATCAACACAAATATTATTTATAACTATTTATAATCTCAGATCTGAATCGTGGGTTCCAGAGCGGAAAGCTGAAATGTCAGACAAACATATTCTGATTGTCGACGGAGACACCTCAGAAAGACAAGTCCTAAACAAAAAGGTTTGGCAGATATATTAAGAGGCATACAGGCACATATGCTCTCGATACAGAATCGACTATGAAAACATTTTTCTAATGTTGTATCTGAACACGTTGATGATGGAGAGCTCTTCCTCGCGGCATGGGCTCCCTCAGCTTTATCTGTCTATAGTTGCCTGGGATTATGATTGTAGACCTTTTCCACGCAGCGTCGATAGCTCGCTTCTATACCCTCTGTACAGAGGCCTGCCTCGCACCACTGGTTCTATAGGCAGTCTACTGGATGAAGAGCTTTGCGCCTTCTAAACTGACTCAAGACGTGATTTATGTTGGAAGCAACTGCTTGAAAACTGATGTCTATTTTTAGCCTAGGCTTAAAGGTACCAAAGATAAAAGCTATCCAACTTTCGCCACAGGTGATTTTATTAAGTGAACCATAAACATTTATCATAAACAAATAAAGTAGCATTAGTCAGACTTACTAACATATAAAAACATTAATTGATATCTTCATCAAAACTTTTATGACATAAATGTCAATACTACTTTTGCATAACTTGTAGAACGTAGAGGGAATGTTCGTTACGGATTGCACGACCCGTGAAGATCCGGGTTAGAATCGGTCCTCTTCAACCCGTCGTTAGAGGCGGCTAACGGGATCGGGTGCTCAGGCTCGCTAACTGAAACATGTCATTGTATCCAAATAGCGTAGATCGTGGTTCATGCTGCTGATCACTGGATTGACCGCCGCCATACAGCTGGAATACTGCTGAGTGCGGCGTTAAACAACAAACAAGTATGAAGTATATATTTATTGTCGCAAGTTGCAGCAGTGTCACCGGTTTTAGCGAGAAAATGTGGTGAGTGAGTGAGTTTAGTTTTACGCCGCACTCAGCAATATTCCAGCTATATAGCGGTCTGTAAATAATCGATGACATATGTCATCCAAGTTAGCGAGCCTGACCACCCGATCCCAAGAATCGACTCTTACGACAAGCATGTGTTACTGAAGTTCAATTCTAACCCGGATCTTCATGGGTTTACGAGAAAATGTTGGGCAGAACCGAAACGCTGTCAAGTCATTGTTGCATCCTTTCACCTACCCGTGTTTTGTGGTATGTGTTCTCCATGTTGTGTTCAGGACCAAGTGCTAACATCGGGTTTTGGGTGTAGTTGTTTGTTTGTTTTGTAACTGTATAACTATAGATATAAACAAATATAATAGTCTTTACTATACTCGGGCGTGAGGTCACATGATATCCCCCGGTCAAGACGAGATGGTTTGAATAATAAATAAATATTTCTAACATCGACAATAGAAGTTGTACAAATCATCCCAAACAACATGTTTGCTGTATCAACCCTTTTTCGTGACTTCCGTTTAATTACAGAAACTGCTTTACATAGACGCACGGTAATGTCGTCAATAATTAACAGTAAATATTTCAGGGGAGGTATAATTCGCAACATGATCCTCACTGCACTTAATCTTGTGTTATTTATCTTTTATACAACTGGTTTATTTTTGTGCTTGCATGAATCATCCCATTACTGTTTTTACTGTCTCGCACTCAAACGGATAATATGTTTCTGTAACATTACTTCAAGTGGGATAATAAAATGGCCTGTCTTGAATTTCCGGCGGCCAACGCGAATATTGTGCAGCATCCGGTAGCTACACATATCTTCACATCCATCTGCACTGCGCTACTTTGCATGTTTGAAACGGGTGTAAATAAATATTTTTACGCCGCAGTCAATTTCAGCTATAAGACGGCGGCTGAAAAAAACAGCAAAAAACATACACCCCACACCGTCGTGATACAAAGACAACTACATCTCCAGTGATTGGTTTCTGGTTTCCAGCCGCTATGAAGGCGACTATGCTTGTCGTAAGAGGCGACTAACGGGATTGGGTGGTCAGGCTCGCTGACTTGGTTGACACATGTCATCGGTTCCCAATTGCGCAGATCGATGTTCATGCTGTTGATCACTGGATTGTCTGGTCCAGACTCGATTATTTACAGACAGCCGCCATATAACTGGAATATTGCTGAGTGCGGCGTAAAACTAAACTCACTCACTCACTCTAGCCGTTATGACAAATACAAATCATCATCAGGGATCATTCATATATCTTGACGGGGTTCTACTGTCAGAGACCCGTGAAGATCCGGGGTAGAATAGGTCTTCAGCAACCCATGTTTGCCACAAAAGGCGACTATGCTTGTCGTAAGAGGCGACTAACGGGATCGGGTGGTCAGGCTCGCTGACTTGGTTGACACATGTCATCGGTTCCCAATTGTGCAGATCGATGTTCATGCTGTTGATCACTGGATTGTCTGGTCCAGAGTCGATTATTTACAGACCGCCGCCATATAGCTGGAATATTGCTGAGTGCGCGTAAAACTTAACTCACTCAATCACTCATTCTACTGTCAGAGGATGACATCAGTATATTGAGTGAGTGAGTGAGTGAGTATGGTTTTACTCCACTTTTAGCAATATTCCAGCAATATCACGGCAGGGGACACCAGAAATGGGCTTCATTACATATGAACCGGAGAAATATAACGAGACTCGTACAATAATATTAAAGGCAATCTGGACTTTAAGAATACACTATGGAGCAAACCCGTAGAACAGTAAGACAAATAGGCCTGACTACTGACAGAAGCCACGCAGAACAGTAGGACACGGTGATTAGGTGAAGAGTAGTCAAAACAGAGCAGAGCACTTTATTTTTTAGGAGACCTATAATATAGAAGAAAGACGTGCACAGTGTTGTGGAAAACCCATAGACTAGTAGGGATACAGACAGAACACTTGCAATAGTAAGAAGACAGGTGTGCTTGTTGCTTTTTAACGCCACACCCAGAAATCTTTCTTCTATATGAAATCCTTCTGTAAATAATCGATTCTCATACCAGACATTCAGTGATTGACATCTGTACTGGTAGAAGACCTGTATAGTAGTAACTGAGAGGACAAATTTTGCACTCAGACCCACACCCTGATTGTATGATCCTTAGACGAGTAAGAGTAAGTGAGTGAGTTTAGTTTTACGCCGCACTCAGCAATATTCCAGCAATATGGCGGCGGTCTGTAAATAATCGAGTCTGGACCAGACAATCCAGTGATCAACAGCATTAGCATAAATCTGCGCAATTGGGAACCGGTGCCATGTGTCAACCAAGCCAGCGAGCCTGACCACCCGATGCCGTTAGTCGCCTCTTACGACAAGCATGGGTTACTGAAGGTTCATTCTAACCCGGACCTTCACGGGTTTAGATGAGTAAGAAGACGAACTGAACAATAAGAAAACTTAGTAGTGTGCACAAGGCTAGGGGTATATTACGAAGACCCACAGGACATTGATTTGATCCAGCGTTTAATATAAAGACCAGTCAAATTATAACACAATTATGAAGAATATAAGATGACCCAAAGTGGACTTCAAAGGCACAGAGAATTAAGAAAGAAAAGTAAATACGAACAACGCAGAAGGATCCAAAGGTCACTAAAGAAACGCAACAAACGCTGTTCCCCCGTGACGATGGTGGAGCCACCAGGCACGTTATGGTCAGTGCCGGTTGTCGGGGTGTTAGATCGAGTCATTGTTTCCTTAATTGTACCGGTAACGTCTTTACAAGCGGTTTCTTGATACCAAAGGTCCAATTGGTAACACCATGATGACGGGCACCTGTTTACCCTCACATAGCCTTATATGTTTGTCGTCAGCGAACAAGGATCTCATATGGTGACCAAGGCCCAGCTTGTTCCATGAGGACCTGTAGGTCTTAGCAGGGATAGAATTGATTTTCTTGGGTTCAGTGATACCACAATTGACCTACCATGTGCCAGTGGGTTTACGCGCTTGTTAATCTTGGGTCGCTTGCATACTAACTATCTGCAGTGACACGGGTTAAACTGAAAAAAAACATACAACCAAACTAAACATTGGAACCATGTATGTTTGAATATATTAAAACTGGTGAATTTCATCAACAAACGTTCTAATCAGTGCAAAGAGATCAACCCTGTGCCGAATGACAATTAAATATTGGTCCGCCGTGTCCGTGCCCCAGATGACCGCTGCCTGATATATCTCTTCTCGTGCCAATGCCATTAGGCTGTTTCACCAGTCTCCAGTAGTTGTTGGGTCTCTCTGCTTATTACGTTCTGCAGAACCGCTAACGCTCGATATCAGCCGAGTCTCTCATGTTGCTAGTAGCGGGCCGCCATTGGAGGTAGTTGGACTCTTGTGGTAGAGGAGAGCGTGAGCGTGCGAGGAGCGAGCGGAACGCGCAGTGTCAGCGCCGGAGGACATACTCGCATGTTGTGGCAGCGTGCGAGACAGACGGTGGTTGTTTCCAGAGTGCATCTGCAATTCTCTGCGTGGATCGCGCTATGATGTGTTTGCAATCAAGCGTTCCAGCTGCCGAGATCACTAATTAGATGCCCGGATGTGTACTACTTTGACATTTCTGTAGGAGCGAAAATGGAGTCAGCGAAGAAATGGCTTACCTCGACGTGTGTGCTAGTTCTAGCGGTATGCCTGTTTATTCAGAAAGGTAAGAATCAGTACTTAATCACAACCGTCAGTTTGATATATATGGCCAATTTATATTCATACGCATGTCGCCTTATTCCAAGGGCGTTCATGTGGCGATATTAATGGCTTTTAAACGCCCCAAAAGACAATGTTTTTAACGTTACGCTTTTTTAAACTCGGCATTTCCACCCTGTCAACTGGCTTAGCATGTCTCTCGTCCAAATCCAGCTCTTCTTGTCTGGTGTCTACACTCCGATCAAACCAAGGTGTTTCATGAAGGATATTGACCGGTTACCATTGGACTGAGTTCAATCGGCAGACGATATTAATGCTGTTCTCCCTGTCGTGGAGGTCAGATTTAATTTGGTTTTAGTGGTTGGGGACCCCAGCAGTATTCTCCCAGGGATCGGGACGAAGGTCAAGGAAGGTCTGTCGAACCAAGTGGGTCCCAGAAAAAAACTCCGAGATGACCATGACAGCGTCCGCGCCACGTGAGGTTGGGTGTCGGAAGGGCTGGGTCGGTCGTGTCCCTTTGACTCAAGTCCTGTAGGTTATTGGAAGGGGAATGCGATCTTAGGCTACAGAGACTGCAAATAGGTTCACTTTAATTAACTGATAGCAACGCATCACGTTACAGGGGTTCTAGTACCTGTGCCGCTTACGTAATTCGAGGAATTTTCGGGAGGAGACAAGCGCGTATCCTGGATTCATCGTTAATTGGGTTTAAACTGATGAAGAACATAGAACTACATGTGTGATGTTACAACAACAGATGAAACACCACGAGATTCCCTACTACTGTGGTCAGCGAGACTTTAAGAAAATCAATTCTTATTTCCTTTAACAGTGTCAAGCGGCTGCGGTGTGCATCACTAGGTTATTGACTTGGCCACAGTCGGAATTTATGTCTGGGCTGATGGTGGTAAGCGTCGGCGTATTGTCATTAAAACATGTTACAACCATTATATCCAGATCAGGTAGAATATTTGTGGCGAGATATTTAAAACGGTATTAACGTTGGATCTGTTTGCAATCTGATGTAATGGTGAGTGTAGCACCACATCCATTGACCCACCACGCCATTTCTTCTTAATTATATATGCGACGACTTGAATTACACAGAAATGCAAGCTTAATCTTGGAATATACTGTTTATATATATTCATGACAATGTTTTTACTATTAAGTAGCATTGACATTAAAACGTCCTAACGTTGACTTTGATCTCACACATTGACGTTGGGATGTATCTATGACAATGAGTGAGTGAGTTTAGTTTTACGCCGCACTCAGCAATAATCCACTATGGCAATGACGTTGACGTTGATGTAAAATGTATCTCAGACATTGACATCGCTATCTATCTATCTATCTATCTATCTATATATATATATATGTGTGTGTGTGTGTGTGTGTGTGTGTGTGTGTGTGTGTGTGTGTGTGAATATGATATATATAGAATATGACTATTCACTGTATATGTAAATACATGATTGTATTCAGCTGGTGAAAACAATAGGAATTGTATTCCTATATTGCAGCAATGAAACTGCTGTGATATAAGGCTGTAACCGACATGCTGGAAGTGGGTGTGGTATGAGTAACGCCTTGTTTTATCTATGCGGGGAGTCCTGTAGTTCATCTGGTCGCAATCAGCAGAGGCCTGAAGAAACGTGATATGATGCAGGATGGTGTCAATGAGCTCGGTGTATATACAGGTCGCCACATCGAGCAACTGATTCACCCGCAGGGCTCCTCATCCAAACACAGGTCCCTTCGTCAAGCACCTTGCTCACCCCCGGGATTCCTCGGTGCGCCTAACTGGTGTAACCATCCACTTGGTGCCATGTAGTTTTGGGAGGGTCATACTCACATCAGATAGTGAGTCATCAAGCCGAAGTCCCCCGTGACCTCATTCCTCCAGTTGGTTGAATCACTGGACGCATGTTCCATGATAATATATTATTGATATGTGGAAGAATTATCTGAGATTGTTCTAGGCCTCCATGCCATATGTCTGAATATCACACAACTTGGTAGTTTGGAATAATATGTTGTTTCATTAAGTAATCCACGCTTGCTTTCATTGCCACTACCATCTCTCACACGTACAAACATGACACCTTTAACATTCTAAAGACTTATGTAATGGTTCGATGTCACATTAGCCCTCCATTATCGTGTTGCCGAGTCTTGTAGACCTATAATCAACAAGTTCTATATTAGCACACCGCGTCTAATACTGATTCTTGTGTTCATTATAATATACATACCACAAACCCAAACAAATGTCACATCGATTTGTTACATGGGATTTTCAAACAGAAGCATCATATTTGAAACATTCCGAAAAACGTTACCAAAGCGATGTTTAATCGCGTTTAATTACCAGTACATGGGGGAAATATGCTCCACACCCAATGCTAAGTAGAGCGTAGAAAAGTACACTTCCGGGGAGTAATTTCACGATGAAGAAGGAGATGAAGAGTTTTACGACGAGCACGATGTCCATATAACACCCATATGGCAGATGGCCTTGTGATACAGACACCGTTGTGTGATGCTGCAGTCGAATGACATTGCAGTCGCATTAGTTGGCGATGGTATCTGAAGACATTGCCTCTTTTTAGAAGCTGTAAACAAACCGTAGCTTATTGTACTGGGTTAGGTATTTCCACGTCGGCGCGGTGTCTGGTCGCCATCGCTCACACTGTGGCAGTACTTCGGAGCGTCATTCCACGACGCCTGGTCTTACATAAGTCACATAAACCGCATGGCTTTGAGGGAATAGAATGCGTTTGCAGTAACCATAGCGAATATGTGCCTCTCTACATAGGCATTTGGCAATGCTTCGATTCTCTTCGAGAGATTGATGAGTACATAGCTAGCCCCGAATACCCGGAATGCCTGTAGGGGCGGTGTATGTGTTGGTACGGACTTTCAAAATGGAATTGTCAGATTAATAAATCCTTTGCACCGAGTACCAATACTTTGTATATATCAAGATGTTTCTAATTGACGGCCGACTTTGCCGTGATACTGTATGATTCATCTCTTTATTGTACCTCTAAATCTCGAAACGCCGCCCATTTCAATGTTTCTCAATCGTCCCCGTTATAACGAGGTAAAGTGCATTTTATATGTGAAGCACATCTATCAAAGCGTTATAACAGAGTGGGTTGTTACTACAGCTCTGGTATCTGGTGAGTGAGTGAGGAATGTAGCAATCAGCAATATTAATGCTATGTCACAGCTCTGTAAGCAACCGAATCAAGACCAGACGAGAAAGTGGGTGATAGCTTCAGCCAGACTACTCAATCTACCTAAACATTCAGTCGGACATACACGCCATTTACGAAGATAGCATAGAATAGATGGGTGTTCCCATAATCCCTCGGGTCGTACTCTAGCAGGTTACCTCCCAATATACACAGGGCAGTCGGGAATTGCCACACAGCAATAGAATCCCAATGAAGAGTTTGTTAAAATGACAAGATAAGGCTAATAGTGTTGCTATCCATCCGATGTTGGTAAGAGGTCGCCATGGCGTGGATGTCAGCCATGTATGTCAGTGGGTTGAACTTTGGGTGGAGTTTTAAACGGGATCATTTCGTTGGTATTAACTTGAAAGCCATTGTTATATTGATTGGCATGTTGTTGACTGGGGCAATGGTAACCGAATTTCATCAAACATTAGACATAATGTAGTGTAATTGTGTACAGGATCTGACCGTTTTTCGCGGAAGTGACTTAATCATAGATGATTTGAAAACCAGACATAGACCGAATGCTACCACTCTGTGATCTCTGACAGATTGGTTATAATGGTTGTTGACATTTTACACCAACGTTTTGATGAGTTCATGTTAAGAAATAGACGAGAGAAAACAGCTGATGTCAAAATATTCAAACAATGTAATTCAGTTATCCTAAAATGGTCATATATTTCAGCTTTGAAACTTCATTTTCATTGTTTATGATCCCTTGTAACAGGAATAACTCATATAACTCCGTATAGCTGACGAATCAGCAGGATGTAGATTACAAACAGACATAGGGTGGTTAGATGTGGTTATCTACGAGGGAGGAAGCGAGCGACCCTGACGTCTGTGTGAGCTGAGGCAGATATGGTTCTATGGGCACTGAGAGAGCGCGAACCACATCTCCCTCGACCGGAACACACGTGTTATACCTAGATCCACAGACCCACGGGTACCATAGAGGTGGGATACAGGAATGAACACCTGCTGTATATGTAGACCAAACGCATATTGCAAACTAATCATACTTTAACTTGCAACCATTTGGATTTGAAGTGCCCGGCAGAGAATTCTTAACTTCGGCCATATTTAACTCTTCTGTTTGGTCGATCCCCCCTATTTTTAGCATCAGCTGATTTTACAGTAACCACGGAAGTCAATTTTCCTTTCTATCGATCTGATCCCGCTATGGGGGACTCTCTGCATGGGGCTCAATATATATTGAACTTCTTAGCATAAGTAAATATTGCCCTGTCGCCCTCGCTTTCAACACAACTGTTTATTTGAAGTCTTATTCGATAATTTGAGCAGTTTATGAAAATATTCTTGCTATTTATTTCTACCTGACCTGTAGTAGATCCAAGGTTTATGACTACGCGCTCCATGGCCGCCCGCGGCTAGTTGTTGAGGGACTGGCACCACACGCTCTCCTGCACTTGATGGACCATCGGTGCTCCATGGATGGAAGAAGTGGATGTTGACATGGCTCGTTGAAGAGGACAAAAGAAAGTTCAACATGGATTATATACCGTACTTAACCATGTCTGTCATAGCGGGATCGGATTTAAGACCAGATGGCGTGTTTACTATCAAGAGCAAATGTTTTGCAAAATGCCAATAATACGATAGAAACTGTTCACACCATGAGGCAATTCCAATCTATCCGTTTGTTTGAGATGATATTATCTTTCTAGCCTTCAGTAATGATATGATGAGTATGTGTATTGGTTGTGACAAATGGTCCTCAAGGACGGTGTTT